CAATACATCATTTTCACTTATGTATCACAGTCTCATATCAATTGAAATGATACAAGTTATCTTTCTTCACTTTCGAATTACGTATTAATAGATCGTAGTTTTCATGGCTCCAAGTTTTTATTAAATGTACGATATCGTAGACCAATATGTCACGTATTTTGCCAAATTTTCGTTTTCTAATGTTATATTTGAGTATCACAAAGCACGTGAGCGAGTTGAGTAATGTTTAGTGTGAATTATCAAAAGCCTTACTATTGATGACTGATAACGAGAAGAAGGAACAGAAAAAAAGAAAGTTATGTGCACATTTATGCACGAACAGATAAGAAGAGAATACAGAAAAGAAAAGACTTATATTTAATTGAGCAATAAAAAATACAGAATGAGCAATAATCAAATTTAGCGATAAATATATAGAATGAGCAATATATATATAGAATGAGCAATATATATATTGAATAAGCAATATATATATTGAATGAGCAATAATTAGATGGAATGAGCAATAATTCCATGAAATGAGCAATAATTAATTAAAATGAAGCGTAAAATGTATATAAAAGGGCAATAATAACTCGTTTTTTTACAACAATAAACGTTTTCTTATCCTCATGAAATTTATATATAACTTTTATACATCACTCAAGCACAACTCATAGCACACTATTTTCTGATTCTTGGGTGTGGGTGTGGGTGTTAAACTACAATGAACCCACACCCACCCACACCCAAGATCCGAGGTTTTCTATTGTGTCTAATCCCAAAAGTTTTCCAGAGGGTCTTGGGTAATGTCTCTTTTCTTTCTACAGATTGCAACTAAAAAAATTGTTCAGAAAGCCAAAGCGATTTTGATGCTTTGAGAAGGAATTTTTCGGATTTTAAAAGCCTAGATAAAAGGTTGAAAACACTTAGTTAAATTTTGTAGCTGAAAACTCTGAAAACTAAGCATATTATGATGTAAATCCAGTGGTTGAAGTTGTCATTTTTCGAAAAATTTGATAATTGAATAAAGTCTTATACTAAGTCTCGCACGTATTTCTCCAAGGGGGTCTTCTATTATGGAAAGCCTTCTAATATAGGGACCTCCTATCGGAAGAGAAGGGTATGCTGTTTTGAGAAAAAAGAAAATAGTCGTTCGTATAGAGACTGGCATGGCTACCGTGACTCACGGTCACGGTCACGATGGCAACGGCCGTGACCGTGACCGTAACCGTGACCAAACTGATCGTGACCGTGACGTGATCGTGACCAAAAAATGTTGATCACGCCGATGTCTACCCCACACCCAGACCCACCCACACCCACACCCATTTTTCTTTTTTGTTTCTTGTAAATTATAAATAAAAATAATTCACTTCTATCTTTTTTTGTTGCTCAAATATGAAATTAATATTGTTATATAATAAATTATTTATTGCTCATTTAATGTCAACATATTGCTCATTTAATATCATAATATTGCTCATTTGATATTATAATATTGCTCAAATAAACATTTTTTATTGCTCAAAAATTATTGCTAAATCATGTTTTTATTATTGCTCATTCTATATTTTTTATTGCTCAAATAAACCCAGGCGAGCAAAGGACGGGTAAAAAGACTAGTCTCATATCTAGTCCTGACGGGGCGTCCTGTATAGTCTTTTTCTCAAATCGGACTATACCATGACTAGTCTGGAAAAAGTTGTCGTCCATAATACCCGTCCAGACTATGTTACTGATGGGCGTCATTGGCTCTGACATGTCTAGTCTGTTTCACTAAAAAAGACCCGTCTAGGACTAGTAAGAATCACTAATAGGTGGACTAGTCCTGTAGGAGGACTTTTTGAGAAAAAGATTAGTCAGGACGGGTAACAGCGACACCACATAGAACAAGTTGTAGTCTTGTGTAGTGGACGAGTTCGGACTAGTCTAAATGAAAATGTGTAAAGATGAAAGTTAGATTCGAACATGCATACAATGTGTTACTTACCAATCGTTTAGACCATTGAGTCATATGATCAGCAGATCAACTCTACACATACATAATCATTCTAAGATGCTATTTAATATAATTTTATTCCACGTTTTTGATGTTCGCATTTAAATAAAAAATTATCGTTTACAAAATAGGTCATTAATTAAACAACACTAGATAAAACAAAGTCAAAAAAATTTATATTTTTTGGATAAATATTTTTTATTACTATTAAGTAGGAATAATTAGTTATGTTAAAAAAATTAATTTTAAATGCAAAAATAAAAAACAATTTATATTGAAAAGAAACTCGATTTTTCATATCATGATTTAGTTTACCTGAAAATTTAAATCATCATGTCTTCAACTAAGTATTAAATTAATTTTGTTTCAATTAAATCTACTTTTAAATTTAAAAATTTATTAGAACTGATATTTAAAGCAGCAATTATGGTACAAAAAGATTTCAATTATTTTTTAGCTCTTTTTTTAAATTTGGTACATCTAATAATTTTAAAAAATATAAGTTAGCACTCCTTTTTGCTTGATAACTACTATTCTTTATAGTTACTTCCACTTTTTAATGTTTTGATATGCTCTTATATATTTTCAATATATGAAAATACAAAATATAATAAGATATATCAAGACAGATAGGAATGCACAAAGTATACTATCTATCTTTGATTTCACTATTGGCTATGACAGACTTTCTGATTGTCGTTCTAGAAAGAGAAAAAAACTAATAATACTAGTGACAATCGACATAATTTTAATACAAAATAACAATGCATGTTATTAATCTCCATAATCATAATACAACAGATCATGCGTAGTTATCAATTTACGAAAATCTGAGTACACTATAGGCAATAAAACGGTTGCTATTCTGTTATCTAGTCCAGATTCTAAATGCATATTGTTATCCATCGATCATTTTTAACAAATGATATAGATGTTGAAAACTTTTTCTATTTACATACTACTTCTTTTCTTTCCATTATTCATCAGTTTAAACGAGTTTATAGGATAATTTAGTCTAAAGAAAGTGACTTGATTAGAGTCTTTCAGACTAGTCTGGACCAGGATGAATGACACTCTTTAGAAAAGGACTAGTCGTGGCGAGTGAAGACGACGCGTCGGTATAGTCCTAACTACTATCGAAAATGTTCCAGACTAGTTAAAGACGTGTAACATCGACTGGTTTCTGATTGTTTACGGGATGGAAAGGAATCAATTTTGTATTTTAGAATGTAAATGGGCGTCAGTTCATTCCAGTGTCCTAGTCTCCCGTCAGGATGATCGTCAGGTTTCGAATACTGTCGGGTTGGATGTTCGAATTCACCGTTTATCTTCTTTTTTAAACTTCGGACTAGTTTGGACGGGTTCAACGGACAAAACGGACCAGGCATGACGGGGTTGAAAGACATTCTAGACTAGTCCAGACGTGTTCGAAGGACATTTCTCCTAAAGGTGACTAGTCATGTCGGATGTGCAAGACGCTTCAGACTAGACCTGACGGGTACTGCGGACATTTCTGACTAGTCATGTCGGCCGTCATGCATAATTTTTTGCTTACTTGGGAATACAAGCCAAAAGAAAATGGTCGAGTGTCGAAATATTTTCAACTTTTTTCATTGATTTTCTTTCTGAGTATCTGTTGTCCGCGCAAGTAATTTTTATTCACGTTAGACGTTGAACAATTTGCTGATTAGTTAATAAAAAATTCTATGGTACATTAATTGAAAAAACCAAAATGGCTAATCTGCTTCATGATTCGGAAGAGCAACGATTCGTTGACAGAATTCGATGTGTCACATATCGTGAAATACGTGACGAACTGATTGCAAGAACAGGAGACTCAATTATTACTCGCCCTTGAATTTCCGAGAAGCTACGTCGCAGTGAAGATTGGGTACGACGAAATTGGAATAAATCTATCGAAGAATGTTATACACAATTTGGCAGTGGTCGACCCCAGGTGCTTAATCAGGAGAGCAGAAACATTATCTCTTCTGCAAGTGGTGTCAAAAGCAGTAGCTGTCGAAAAGTTGCAAGAGAGATTTTAGAGAAAACAAAACAGCGGGTGAGTCACATGACTATTTACAATGAACGCCATCGGCAAGGATTAAAAGTTTTCCATGTGATTGCCAAGCCACTGAAGACAAATACACATATCGAAGATCGCAAGTGGCTAGCAAATTTTCTTACTGATTGGACTGAAGAAGATTTTCTACATGTTGCACCTTCGGATGAATTTTACATTTATGTTGTAAGAAAACCAAACCATCAAAATGATCGAATTTGGGCAAGAAGTATTGAAGACATCAGTGATGATGAAAGATACCGAGAGATGGTTTACAATGCAACATGTATTGGGGTTTTCGTCATGTTTACTGCAAAAAAACTACATTGGGTGCTAAAAGAACATGGACAGTCTTGGGATGGCGCTTATTTTCGTGACACTATCCTTCGACAACAGGTGATCCCATTTCTTCGTGATTCGTCCAATGTTCTCGATACGAACGAAGTGATATTTCTTCACGACAAGGCACCTTGTATGAAAGCGAATGCAACACAACATCTTTTAGAAGATGAGAATGTGAATTTCTGGGGAAATTCAATTTGGCCAGGCAATAGTCCTGACATGAATCCTGCAGAAAATATTGGTGCAATTATTAAAGATAAAGTTGAGGAACTAATGGCAAATGAAGATCGTCGTAGCAGATACAATTACGATGCACTGAAAACGAATTTGGAGAATACGCTCAAAGATCTTGAAAATGATACAGATCTTTTTATTGACTTGTTATGCTCGATGCGAAAAAGATTTGATGCTCTCAAGGCTGCTGATGGGGGTCATACGAAGTTCTGAAACTTTCGAAAAAGCATTTTTTAGTATTCAATATTATCAATAAACTGAATAATTAATGATTCACAACTTAAGTTACTGTTGAGCACAACGGCTTTT